ATATAATCCCTGTTGAAAATCAGTTATAACCCAAAAGATGAAACTAGTCAAGCTGATGGTCACTGCACATAGATAGCCTTGCTCAGGATTATGCTGCAGCTAAGGCAGAGAGTTGGAACTAGCTCTTAGCTAGTGTCACAGCCTACATGACAGCGGGCCTGAGGGGGTTGGAAACATTCCCTTTCCCTCAGCTAACTTCCCTGGTTTCACTGTGTTGCAGAACTCGGTCCCTGATCAATCGCTGGTACCTGAAAGTGAAGCTGTCGGTTCAGGGTTTGTGCCCCCACCTTTCCCTCCAGTCAGACCTCCATTGATGCCTGTGGATCCTAGAGCACCACCAGTACCTTTCATGAGACGAGGACCTCCTTTTCCTCCCCCTCCTCCTGCTGGCATGTATGGACCACGGGAATGTTTTCCAGTACGAGACTTCGGGCTTCCACGCCCTCCACTGCCAAGTACGTGGCTTTTGCCAGCGTTTACTTCAAGTTGCTGAACACGAGTTACCACTCTGGGTGAACATGTACATCTTTATTTGGACATACTACTTCTTAATTCAGCTAACAGGGAACATCTTTTCTGATTAAGGTTCATGGTGTTGTATACTTCCTTTTCCACAACAAGTTACCTTGATTTTTTACAAATACTAGCTTTGGCTGAAAAACACACCCACACATACTGTTCAGCATTTAAAGGATCCTTTTTTTGGTGTAGGAAAAGAAATAGCTGGTTACCTTAATCCTTTTCTTCTTAAGAAGTTCCATCATCTATAAATCTTTAAGTTTTGTCCTCTGACTCTGAGGTGTGCTAGTATCCATGCAAAGGGAAAAACAACTGTTTTTCCTTAGCGTTTGCATTAGTGGAGCAAGATGTATCAGATGGCAGCGTTTCCTTCTGCCTCTGCCTCCTGCTGTTCTCCAAGCAATCTATGAAGAACTAAGCCATTTATCTTCCAAATACCAGTAAGGTGTGGCAGGCAAGGGCTGCTGTGGACTGAGGGGGATGCTGGCAGGAGCAGCCCATTAGCAGGCAGTGACCGGCTGCTACTGTGAGTCTCTTGTGGGTAACTACTGAGAAAAGTGATTGTTTTGTCTCCTCCTTCCTGGTACCTCTGTCTCTTCGGAGTGTAACACATGACTTCTATCTAGGTAGGCCTAGCTGAGCAGGAAGATGTGGGGCAAGAGGAGCAGCTGTGTGTTTACTGTTGTGATTAATATTAACTGGATTACTCTGATTCTTTCACAGTAAGAAATCCATTTCCGATGAGACCTTATCCTCACTATCCACCTCAACGACCTGGATTTTTGCCTCCTCCACCTCCTGAAAATAGAGTTGAACCACCTCAGTCAAATCCATCAGCTGTAGACCAACCAGAACCACAGCAGGAGACTTGATGGCCATTTGGGGAATGTGCTGAACCCTTTCTGTGCTCTCCTAATGGCATTTTCCTTATGTTAAGTAACTGTTGTTACTTAGGTATATATAAACTACTTTGCTCAAATTGAAGCTTAACAGAGAAAATTCTCAGGATAGTACATTGTAAATAAAGAATGAAATAACTATGAATATTGTGAATAAGTGATTTCCACTGTACAATAGTCATTTTAAATTAAGTATTTCTAACTTGAGTAATCTCTTTAGAGGTGTATAAAATTAAATCATGTGAACCATATTGTAAAAGTCCAGCTGCTCTGTCCTTGTTGACCTGTACAGGGAATCTCTCTGCATGCCAAAAGTGGTGCTTGCTGCTTTATGACTAGGATGTGAAAACAAATGGAAACAGTTAATAAAAATCTACAGAAAATGAAAGCAATGTCATTGTTAATGTGGTATAATAGAAGTAGGGGAAGAGGAATCACCATCGTGCTCCACTACAGTCTCTGTTAATGACCTCGTAGGTGATCTTTCAGCTGTCAGAGCTTTACAAAGTGGCAGTTGTCCTACCATGACATTGGAAGGGAGGAGGAAGTGGAAATGCTGAGCAACTCTCCCATCACTCCTCAAAAGCTGGAGTGGGGTAGTGTTTTATTGAACATGTGTACAAGAGGTTTTTATGACCTGGAGGAAAGAGTCATAGCTATGAGATGCTCCAGCACCACCTGACCCTGGCCTTTGAAGACGTACATCTGCAGCAAACTAAATTAGAGCTGGTGGGGTTTTTTTACTGTCTCAACACAAATTCAGCTTATTAGGCTTCAAATTTTAACACTAGTGTTTGGGAAACTAGGCAGGACAAAAGCAGAATTAAAAAGTACAAGAAGGAAGTGGCAAACTGCAGCATTTGTTTGTGCACAAACTGCACATAAGTTTGTGTCTATAAAAGCATTTGGTGTGTTATCTCACTCACCCCTTCCTGTGAGGTTCCCATTTGTGGTGTCCCTTGCAGGAATGGCTGTCACAAGAGGCACAGTGCCTTAGCTGCAGCCAGGGCACAGGCTGTCCAGGGCTGTGCTGGCTCCAGACAGAGCCAAGCTCTGTTTACTGACGACTCTACAATCTAAAAACTTCTTGTAGAAGCTGTGCTGGCTGTTCTGGCAGCTTGGCTTTGACTTGAAAACAATGTAAGGACTCAATGCAGTCATTTGCTAAAGGACCCTTTAAAATAAATAAGCAAACTGTTTTTAGCAAGTTTCCCCCCCAGCAGCAGTTCAACCACCAGTCCCCATTCTTTGCATGCACACACACAACACACAGTTTCAGCCTTTAATACAAATGCAGCCACCACACCCTATAATTAGAAGTTACCAAAAAACCTCCAGTCTACTTTTTTTGTAATTGCTTCGGTCAAGGCTGCCAAGGGAGCTTTTTCTTTTGCAGCTCAGTACTCCTGCTCCTACCATTATTCCCACCTTGGCTTCTTTCAGCTGCAGAACTCTTCCATGGCTCATACCTGCAGTTTCTTTATTCCCCTTTCTCCTCTAGCCCTCGGAGGCATTTAGATTAGCCTCTGTACAATGACAAGTTCTGACAACAGATATTTTAAATTGTCATCCATGTCAAATTAACTCTTTTTGACTATTGCATCACTTTTAGGCAATTAGTTGTTGCTCTAAGTTTGCCTGAAAGACTTCACCAGGATTCTAAAGGGAATTACTGGATTTTACCCTTATCCTTGTCATCAGCCCTAGGAACAACCAGAACTGGCAACTACAGCCTTACCCCTGCACAGAGAACCAGTGGATAGCACAGTCCTGGGCTGATAACACTACCATAACCCTTTTTTATTGTTTCCCCCACTCACCTGAAGGGCTACAAAAACTCTTTGGGAATGTACCTATGTTTTCTGAGAAAATACAGTATTTTCTCTGTATGTGTTAAATATTTGTTCTAGCTTGTAACCAAGTTAACTCTTTGGAAAAACAGTTCTTCCTCCACCAAAACAATCTACTCTGCCCACAATGGTACTGGAAGCTGCAGGCAAAACAAAAGATAGCTGGACTAAGATAATGCAGGACAAGCATGGATTAGATCATCCTGCAGAGAGAATTTCAGACTTTTTCCCTCCTCCAGTAATAGCCCAAAATTTTATTTGCAAATTTGAAAGCAAGCTCAGGTTTATGCAGGTAGATGGTATCCCATAAGATGTATTTAGGTATGTTTAAGAGAAGGGTCACACAGAAGTGAATGTGGGGAAGTCCCTTTTCCCCCCACCCTCAAAAGAAAAAGCAACCGAGTTTTAGATGAAGGCTTGTGTTCCAAGTTTCTGCAGCTAAATCTAGAATGCAGAAGACTAACCTGACAGTGCCATCTCTTCAGGAAAAAAACAAAAGAAGTAAAATCCCATTTGGGATTATGCAAGTTTAAAGTAATTTCACAGTTTGTAAGGTCCCACTCCAAATGCAAATGCACTTTCCACATTAGGACCATCTTAGTTTCCTAACATTTGATTTCAGGTTGCTTCATCTTGAATCCCTTCACCCTGGTATCACTAATACAGATTACTGCTGAAAATACAGGCAGACAACAAACTTAAGACAAGAGAACAATCAGAGGTGCTTTTCTCCAACCACTGCTCAAGGTGTGGCTTTCACCACACACTCCTGCCTTACTGGACTCCCTGTACTTGTCACTTTAAGTATATTGACTTCTTCCCTGGAACACAAGCCAAAACCAGTGTATGACTTCAGAGTGCATGAAAAAAATCAGACCTGGAGCACTAACAAAGGACACTCATTGATAACAGCTGATATTAAACATTCTGGCTGTAACTGCAGTAAGTGAAAGGGCTGCACATCTCTACCATAGTAAAATGAGCTGCTTCTCCTGTTCGTCTTATCTTTCAAGATTAAGTTAATTAAAACAAAGCATAAAATAGGTTAGACTGAATAGAGAAAAAACCTTGTTTATATAATGGAAAGCCAAATGGGTTACTTCCAACTCCAGTTAGTAAGGCAGTTACCCATAAAATGCAGTAGCTTAGAGAGAGAAAATCACCATCCTGCATCTATGTTTAAACCAGAGAATGCAGCATTTACTCCATTTGCTTCAGGAAGCTGCACAGAAAAAGCCAGAAATCTTGAGCCCTTTACGACCAAACTTCAGGTTCAGATGTTGCTGAGCAATCACTACCAGACTTAACTGCTACATAACTTCACTCCTGAGGCTGAGCCCTGAAAGGCACCGAGACCAAGTCCCTTTATTTCACTTTACTAGAATATGAAAAGCTGTATTTGCCTTATCTTTTTTACCCACAGCATCTCTTCAGTATGTTGGTAAATGATCTTGCTTACCAAATCTGGAAGATCTAGGAAACTGCTTGAACAACAAGCAATGCAACTCTCACACTTGGCAGCAGTTTGGATTATCATAAAATGAAGTTCAGGAGCTCGAATGAAGTCCGTGCTTGGCACGCACACATGGAACAGCCACTCTGACAAGTCTCACAGCACAGTCAGCCACTGCAGGGCACAGCAGCTCTTCCACAGCTGACCAGACATCTGCAGTTTTCATTCAGAATGCACAGCTGTGTACTCTGAGTACGGATAAAATGCCAAACTGAAGCATTGCAGGTATTCATAATCTATTTAATAGTGGGACACCAAAGAAGTACTACACATTTTTCTTGAGCACATTAGATTTTGATTTAAGCAATTGCAATGGATGCAGTAATTTCCCAAAAATAGTATTCTATATTCTACAATCCACAGTTTACTGTATCAGTCTAATAGGTCATATAATGATATACTGTTTGTGCTAACTGGTCTGATCTTTAGCAAAGCATCCTTCCCCTTCCTCCACCACCCAAAAATTGTTGACAAAATTCAGCCAAATTAAAAAAAAAAAAAAAATTACTGTATGAATTATTTTAGATTCTTCTGCTGACCTACACACAATGGGAGCTACCAGTTACACACAGCTTATGAATGATGTTGCGTTTTAATTCTAAAAATCTTCATGCTGACAACAATAAAATATTTTATACAGCGATCAATTTTTAATGCTTTATTCATTGATTAAAAGAATATAACATTTAACATAAACCATACAACATCAGTCATCAATTCAAACATTCAGCTGGTTTCCTTACATTTTCTGTCAGGAGTTTTTTTTTTATCTGATCACATTTGTAAGATAAAATCTCACCACATCTGGCATATACACACACTGTGCCAGTGGATTCACTCTACTGATGTACATATAAAATCCGCATGGTATGTGCTCACTGGAGACAAAACAGCGCACACCTGTCAAAAGGTCATTTTAATATAAGATGGTAAAACCATTTGTAAAACACATATAAACTTTTTCCATAAATAGAATCATATCTGGACATCTGTTGCATAAATTGTGTTTTCCAAAGCTTACAATATAGCAGCCAGGTCTCAGCACTGCTGGGCACCCACGTTGGCCACTTACTTTATTATTGCAGACTGTCCTTTAAACATTAAATGCACAACATTCGTACCACTTAAAACTGGGGTCAGGTGGAAGTCTCACAGAGACCACGTCTGTACCGCGGTTGCCCTGAAACAGTTAAATCGGCTTCTAAAGCCTCTCAGATATAACAAGATTTTAAAACATACTTCATGGAATGTTCTTCATGCATCATAGCAGCTCATACCTGTGATAGAACAAGCTTTGTATTTATTTCCTTTCCTTCCTTTACATTCACTATTCACAGTGAAACAGGTGCATGTTTGTTAAGAGTTCTGAGGTTGCTGACTGAGCCACAGCACAGCTGTGTACCACAGGTCGAAATTCGACCTTATATATTACAATCTAGCAGTATCTGGCTGGCCAAAAGTTGGCCTGCCCCTGCCAGCATGTGGGCACTTCTTCGTTTTTAATCTATTCTTTGGCAGCTGACACAGGCGCTGACAGAGAAAATCCAGTGACTTGGTTGTTAGGGATTTCACGACTAATGTTTGTTTGCAGGTGTAGACCTTTGTATTGAAGTCTTCACTGTTATGTGTTTACCTCATCGGAGTGCACATTCTTGCTTTTTCCTTTTAAACTTTGGCCCAAAGCTAACTTTTAAGGAAGATGACAGAACATGAGAAGAAACAAGGAGGAGTTTGCAAAGAATCCAAAAGACTACAGCTTATGGAGTGAATCTGTAAGTGCAGGTACCTGAACGCTAGTGTTTCACACCGCCGCTTAACAGCTAAGGAAAGCCGAGAATGGAGTTAAGTCATGCTTCAGAATCCGCACGTGAAATAAAGCAAGGTAGGAGTCTTAGAGTGAACAGCCCTGGAGAGACTTCTCGTCCTTTAAGCCTATTAAGCAGCATGCTACTGGATTAAGCACACAATGACAGCACAGAAATCCACTTGACTATGAATATGGGTATTAAAAACAGTTGGCTCCCGAGCACAGGACTCCAATAGCAAAATAATTCAAAATGCAGTTACTCAAGTAAAGTAAAGTTAGCCGGCAACCTCAGACAGCCTTTGGCTGTATCTCTTAAGGTTTGGTAGACAAGTCCATTAACCGTGAAAACCCTAAACACTGCCACTTTCAGCTTCTAAACCAATACCCGACTACGTTCTTTGATCAAGAAGTAGAATACACATATATAATTCTATATAGCTAATACTGATTAAACACAGCACAAAAGGGGTTAATTCACACTACCGAAAAAACATAATAGGACCCTACTTGCATATGTAACCACAGGAATTGTAAATAAGGAGCTAAATGCCTTCACTGAAGCTCTGCATCTCTCTGTAAAAGTGACGGGTTGGCTCAGTGAAGACACTGAGCAGCTCAATGTCCATGACGGCGTGCCAAGGCCGACCCAATCCGAGAGATACTTGCTCAATGAAATTGTGTACTGGATCCACATCCTGATCAGCCAGTTCTCCTTGGTCGAAATCGATGCTTTCTTCTGTGACTTCCAGTACTTTCAGGTCAGAGCCACGAAGACGAGCGATTGCTATAAGATTATGAGCCCAAACAGTGTAACCTAGGGTGAAAGAAAAACAAAGTCACTCTGTCATTTTGCTACAAGGCGTTTTCTTACTGCAGAACTTAATATCTGACCATCTTAACATCCTTCCCAATCTATTTTGTCACCTTCCATCTGGCAGAAACCCCCTAGGGCACGGTGGGGGATTTTTTGATTGCAAGTGGTAAAGCCCCATTTTATACTTGGAATAAGAGAGTATAAAAATATTTCAGGTAGTTTGACTGAGCTTTTCTCGATCTATTTTTTTCTCCACTTGCAGAACAGTGGACTACTTCAAGTTATACATACAATTTCAAACCTCCTGTGATCTACTCTGTAGTATAAATAGAATGAAAAAAGGGAGTAATCAATTATTTGAAGTGAATCCATAAAAGGACTGTTTTAAAAATCTGTGTATGGTAGAAAAAAACCTGAAGTTTGCTTTTGTTGCATTAGAGGTAGAGTTAAAAAAAAATACCACCAAACAAACAAAAAACTAACACACACACAAACTAGAAGCTTCTCCAGGTCACAGCAGTGTATATATGTATATATATTTATGTATATATATATATTATCTACATATACCTTGTTTTTCTGTCTGAGATTAAACACAATTACAAAGTTTCACTCTCTTCACCTTACATACTGGCATCCCTTTTTAAAAATTCCTACTCCCCAGTTACCTATTAGCTTTCTGTGCCCAGGCTAAGGCAAATGCTGAGCTCCTCCTTATTCAGATGCAAACAAAAGCCAGTCAGTCTGGGAACTTCCCTCTTGGGGAGCTCTGCCAAATCAGTCCTTCCACTGCAAAAGGAAAGGCTCATTTCTGCCTCTATCATCATTCTTGCAGGTGCTAAGCTTCTTGGTGAGATGCCCACTTAGATTCCAAGTAAAGCTGCAGTCTGCACAATATTTGAACTGGGAAAGCTAAGCTGCTGAGAAGTAAAAGCTAACTGTGGGTTGGTCTTCCAACAATGCAGCTAACATGCTCCACATCAAAATGTATCAAAATAAGACATAGTTACAGAGACACAATAGAGAAAAGTAAAAGAAACCAGAATGAAAATTTCTCTTTATTACTTCATCAGTTTTCTTCATTCTTTAACTATGTTGCTTAGGGTGGGTTTTCAACAAAGAAGCCTGCACACATCTATATGGCTTATTCCTGGTATATTAACCACTAGGAATGCATGAATTCCCACAACTTTCATATGCTTGATACTTCACCTTCAACACAACTGTCCAGATGAAATTGTCAACAGGCAGCTTAACTTAATGTCCCTTCCTTAAAAGGGACATTAAACTCAATGGAAAACTCCCCCCTGTGTGATGACACTCCCCTATCAGGACATGAAGGAGATCACAACACCTTCCAGTTACCTTGATCATAAAGGAACTTACCAACAAAATTCTTGAAAAAAAGTGCAAGAATAAAGGGAAAAAAACCTTCAGACTAAGTCCCCTTTACCACCTAGTGGTCAGGTATATGGCTTTTGCTATAACCTTTCATGGTGAGATCCTCTGTGCACCGAACAACTATCTTATTCTCAACTTAACCTCATTTTAAATTAACTCTCAAAAGTTTTGCCTGAAATTTCCTAGTGACCTTCCAGCTGCCAAAAAGTCTCTGTCCAGCTAAGTATTCAGAGGTAACAGGGAATGACCATTTCACTACCGGTATCACTGAACAACAAATTCACCATAGGCACACCATAATTTACTCTTCCTAGCAAAAATTTCAAATTCAGCATTGCTCATGGACAGAATGAAACTTAATTAGTATGTTTACAACACAAAGTCATAAAAGCCCACATGAAGTGTCCTTCTGTTGAGGAGGAAGAAAAAAAAAAGCTTCTATTCCCACTGATGTACCAAGTTTCTTACACAGTGCCAGATCATGTCACTATGAGTATCCTACTGTCCTTATCCCATCCCAAATGACCACACACTCTTTACATCCTTTCTTCATTCTGCAAGAATGTATTTAAAATCCTTCAATCTGCTTTCCTCTGCTTTTGAACATGCTACGTTGGTGGAAAGACAGTATGACTTCCCACAAAAGAAAATCTGGAGGCACTCAAGAAAAGAAGTGTCCTTAAGCATATGTTTTCCCTTCCTCTTTTGGTCAGTGGCAGCCAAAACTAGATGTAAATCAAAGCTATTTCCAGAGTAAACTGATATCAAAAGAGGGAACACACACATACACACAAAAAGTCTGAGAAGTTTGGAAACTGAAGAACAACCACTTCAGGAGACCAGAGAAGAAACCAAAGAAGAAACTTTCATTAAAAGTGAATTATGGCACCTTGGTCAAAACCATCACCTTTTCCTGAAGGAAGCTTGACCGTGTAATATGACAAGTGGAGCCAAAAAACATTATATAGTAAACCTCAGAAAACCCAAGCATGAGGCTAAGATGCTGTACTGAGGCATCACAGCATTTCAGATATTTCTTCCTAGTAGTGTTCCTCCTACAGTTGCTACTCTCAAAAAAAGATGTTCACGCTCTAGTACTAGAGGAGTCATATTCACAGCTTAGAAAAGATCAGGAGGCATTTATAAGCAGCTTAGCTAGCTTCTGCTGCAAGGGGGGAAAAGAAGGGTAAAGAATCTGAATCCAAACCTAACAGCAAGGTGATATTTAGTCCTTCTCTCCCCCTGGCAGACACAGCATCTCTCCAAAGAAAGATGTAGCAACAACCATTTGCTAGACAGAACCACCAAAGATGTTTGCTTTCCCAATGCTCTGCACAGACTAATACCTTCTACTGAATAGACATATGCTGATATTAAACGGTATTTACACTAGCTTATGTTTACATGTTTTACAAGCTTTTAAAGTTAGATAATATATGAGAGGCCTTCCCCACAGCAGGAGGATAATTTAAGGTAGCAAATAATTTTTTTTTAAAAAAGGTCCCAAAGTAGTATACAAATGTTAAAAGAAACTACTGAAATCCACACATAGAGTGGTATGGTTGTGTACCAGTATCCAAAATCTGTCACTCCTGGAAACTATAAAGGAGAGAGAGCTGAACTGATCATCATTCCCTGTTCCCCCCCCACCCTGCAATGATTTTTCAGTAGAAGACCAAAAAAAAAAGAGCAAATAAAGCAGGAACTTCTTCTGACTTCAAACAATGGAAATACAAATCTACATCTCCCTCTTCTGAAGGTCTCTCCCATTTGTGCTGAATGACTGGAGATTAACTCCCCAAAGCAGTCTGAAGAAACATATTCATTCTTATGCAACACAGTAACAGTCATCACTTAACGCCTTCATGCATCAGCAAACTTTGTCTTAGTAAGCTGATTCCAGCACAAACAAAAAGCATTATTCTGCATTATTTCAGTTTCAGGTGCCTTAAAATATGTCAAACTGCTTGCAACTTCTAGCAAGTATTGTATTGATGACAGAGCTTAATACTTGTTAAAATCTATTTGCAATTATATGGCAAATAAATAGGTGGGATAAACCTATCTCTGGTATTACTGGTGAAACCAGTCAGTGAGGCAACCTCCTCCACATTACATTTTTTTAGCCTTCATCTGCTGGTAAAGTCTTACCAAACTGGTAAGAAACTTCTTCCCCTCAGCTTTGGGGCACTCAACCCATGTTATTTATCAACAAGAAGCAAAATCATCTAATCCTGCCAGCATATGGGCTCATAGTAAAACAGCAAATGTTTTCAGTGTTCACATTCACATAATCAGTCACTTAGTGGAACTCACAAAGTGCAGACCACTTCTAGGATAAGCCTCCTGGAACACTCAGTTCTTAGTTATCCTCATTTCTGTGAGAACTCTAATAAAATTCTGTGTGACTTCTCAATACAAGTAGAAAGCTACAAGTATGTTTAAAACTCATACCACCTTCAACAACAGCATGTATAGTAACTCTGCAGCAGACTTTGGAACACCACTGCACTAAAATACACTACGATTAGAAAGGCTGAAGTGTTGTAAGCATTTAAGAAGTCACATACTATACCTGTGCAAGGCATTACCTACCATGAACAGCTAGGAGAGACAGCCTTGTGCACCTCCAGGCTAATAAGACAAGTGGATCTTCATTCCGGTTGTCACTAAGATCTGGGAAGGCAGACATATCTACCACATCATTCATTAGTATAAAATGAGTGAGGAACTTGTCATACTGCCTGGATATGAGGTCAACAACAGCCCCTGAAACACAAGTGACATAGCTGTCAAAGTGAATCCTCTCTAAGGGGATACTGGGCTTAAGAATCCTTAACATATCATCACTCTTGACATCAAAAGCCATTATATAGACCCGAAGATTAGTGCTGTTGCGAGTCAGCGCCTGCCAATTCTCATCTTTTGGCATATTGTCCAATGACTTGTGCATTATGGAAACACTGTGGACCAGGAGAGACAGTCGATGCAAAGGCACATGGTTGCTGTCAGCCAGGACTCTTGCCATTTCAGCTGTAAAATCACAGAAATCCAAAGCGAGCGAACGCAGATTCACAAAGCGCTCCAATTCAACCGCAGTGATAAGAGTGGTATTACCAGGGATGTGGTTGTCCAATAAGCTCAGATGTTCCATGGTGTTGGCTATGGGGTTTGATAAGGAGGACAGTGATGTGGGAGTTACTATTTGCAGCATTAACCCACAAGACAGCCATTTCAATTGCCTGCTATTGCCTAATATCTCTTCAAACAGCTGTTGGATTCTGCAAGTAAACAAAACAGACAATGATCCTATTAAACATGGTTTAGTCTTACCAATTGCATATCATTCAATTTTTTTTTTTATTCAAGAACTATTATTCTTTTATTTACAGCCTTATTCTGCAGAAAGGTCCTATTATGGTTCTTGTGAACTACAAAATGTTGTAACCTGACTGCAGACCTCCCACAGCAATTTAACCTTTGCTGCACTTAAAAGGTTAAAATTGTTAACTATCTTGAAAGAAATTATGTACTTTGTCTTTCAAAAACAGTGGCACACCATGAACCTTCACTTCATGTATTTTCCAGCATGTATTTAACACCCTCCCACATACATTTTAAGGTTATGCAAATAAGAAAACCTGTAATGCTTTTAGAACACAGCTCTTGTTTTTAAAAACAGCTCTTCGTATTTGCTAACCTCTCTAGAACTGCAAATTCAATATGGAAAAAAAAAAGTAATTCTCAATTAAAGGTGGCAGAAACTTGACTCTGAGCATAAGTTAGAATGATCTGAAACTATCTGCTTGACCTTGTTCGTTAAATGGTAAAGAAGAAACATATAAGAATATTCCTTAAATATTCCAAATGTGCAGCTAACTGGATTTTCAAGTGCCAACAGGTTCAAGTTTTACCAAAACAACTTGGACCCAGTAGCATTTCAATCTCAAATTATCAGTGCCAATGATCATTATGCACTTACTCAGACGCACCCCACCTCTCCTAACCCCCACTTTTCTTTTAGTGATGTTCTTTATGTGGGATATTCATTCAAAAAGGCAACAGAATTATTTTAAATTTTTAATATTAAATGAAAACAGTTCAGTCAAACTTCACAAACTTTCTTCATATAATTATTTTTCCAGTCTTCATCCCGCAGCTGCTAAGGCTCAAAAGAGTCCTCCTGCCCAAATGACAAGTGTTCTTTTAGCATATTAGGACACATGTGCAGATGAACATTTCATCTCCAACCCTGGTCAGCCAGAAGGAAAGATCAGCATTAAAGGGAAGTGGTTGAGCCAGGCTATGACAGTCCCATGAAACATTAAGAAATAAGATACAAACACCTCCAGTACAAAGTTAGCAGAAATCTTTGCGCCTCAGATCAGATAATGTTTTTGCACAGAACACTTTTTCCTTTATTGCTATCAATATCTGTATACTTTATACATCTAAGCAAAACAACATTGTAAAGTTGTTATTCTCATACATGTAACTTTAATGAAGAGAATGTTCAGACAAAATCAAAAGTTTAGCCCACTATCCCAACTGACAGCAGAGAAACACTAACACCTTAAGGTGACAGAACAAGGAAAGCACACAGGGATATTTCTCAAATATCTCTCTAGTTTCCAAAACTTTGTAACTCAGATCTCCTGAGCCAGAGGCAGCTTTATATATTTTGCAAATCTCAGGGACTTCAGTTCTACAAATTTATCCAGGTTCCTCCTCCCTTAGCTGAGTAAGCGTTTAGCAACTATAACATCCAATAATAAAGAACTTTGCAGTGTGGTTCCCCTCTCTTGCTTGCTCTGAACCCATCACCTACTACCTTTGATGCCCCATACTCCTTCTGTTGTAAGGAAGTCAAAGATCAGTCCTCATTCATCCTCTCCCTCTTCAAATCTTTATTCATAGAATCACAAAATCATAGAATCAGCTGGGTTGGAAAGGACCTCCGAGATCATCAAGTCCAACCCTTGATCCACTACCACAATGGTTACTAGACCATGGCACCAAGTGCCACATCCAGTCTCATCTTAAAAACCTCCAGGGACGGAGAATCCACCACTTCCCTGGGCAGCCCATTCTGATGCCTGATTACCCTCTCTGTAAAGAATTTCTTCCTAATATCCAACCCAAACCTCCCCTGGCAGAGAGCTTAAGACCATGCCCTCTTATCTTACTGACAGCTGGCTGAGAGAAGAGACCAACCCCCACCTGGCTACAACCTCCTTTCAGGGAGTTGTAGAGAGTGATGAGATCTTCCCTGAGTCTCCTCTTCTCCAGGATAAACCACCCCAGCTCCCTCAGCCTCTCCTCACAGGACTTGTGCTCAAGTCCCTTCACCAGCCTTGTTGCTCTTCTTTGGACCCTTTCATCCCCTCTCTTGTCTGCATGTGCTTTCTTCCTTCTCCTGTGAAGGTACTGAGTTTGTAAGGCCTGACTTCTTTTAAGCAGAAAAGTTTGTGTGGTTATTGTATTTATCTATTGAACATCTCAAGTTCCAAAGGTTTTGCCTATATAGTCAACAGGTCAGAATACTTTGATTTTTCTAGATTTCTCCAAATATTTATTTCAAATTGAGGACTGGCAACTGTGACACAAATTAAACACAGTTTTAAACAAAGGGTGAGACTCACAGACAGTGTAATTTTTCTATTTTATTCCTAAATTCTTTTACGGTTCAGATGAGCCTTGTTTGATCCTGGCAATGTTTGCTTCATAACTGTTCTTGTCAGTGCTTATACTGAAGGCAGATTTTCTCACAGTCTCCCAAAGAAAAAGATTCTACCACAGCAACCTCTCAAATTTCTTCCAAACACCCTTCCCTACTCCCTCACCATACATCTATGAAAGGTTCTCTAATGGCTGCAGCTGTGGTAGGATTCATTTTGTAATAGCCCAGGTAGTCAATCTTAATAGTGTGCTTGTAATATTTTACAGAATTATTAAAGACAGTTTTGAGTTGCTCAGTAGAATACTACCATCTATGTGCCTCGTTGCACTACAAATCTGTTAAATTGTGGTTCTCATACAACTTCAAACATCTGAGCTTAGAAGAATACTATTCTAGTACTTGCACAGTTTAATAAAAAGAAATATGATATAGAACTCTGCAGCTGTAGAGCGGGTTCTCTCCCCAGTGGGAATTGCACTAAACTTTTTAAAAGAGAGATACTGATTTAATGCGATCTACATATCAACTTTTTAATGCAAGCACAGAAGTATTTATACAAGTATTTAGATTTGTACTGCTAGTCTAACGACCTGTAAGTCCTAAGAAAAATTAACTAAGAACTGGAGAAAGTTAATAAAACGAGATCAAACATGTCAGTAGAGAGTATTTAACAGAAATCATTTCTGGATTGTTTTTAATATCTGCTTTATACAAGGCCAGACAGAAAGCACTATATATGGTCATTCATTTTAACAAATAAATTTTTTAAAGTCCTCAACAGGTTTTTTTTTTCCTCCCCTGCAAATTCTTAAGTACATTCTATTTTTCATAAACAGATTGCATCTAACTGGAGTTTGCTGTAATAGTCTGAACCGTGTTCTAGAAATTTAGACACATCACGTGACTTCTTGGAAATTAACACCTGCCTTATTTTTGTATTAACTTCAACTGCCTAACATGTAGTACAACATTTATCCCAACTTACACACAATTATTTCAAAGTTCACTTATAAAACTAAAGTTTGAGAATATAACAGAAAATACAAGCAGAACTCAGCATATGCAAAGAAGCAATATAACCTATTGATGTCTCAACAAGCTTAATCAGTTCCCCTTTGCTCCCTGTAAGCGGCAATTGTGGTTTTTTACCATCGACCTGAAACCTACAAATTACTAAACTGAAGCAAACTCTTTTAAAAATAAAAAACTCAAAATAATTTACTTTCACAATTAATCCCCCAAACAGTGCTTTCATCCAGAAGACAGACTGAAGCCTGATTAGACAGGCCGAGTTACTGCTAAAGCCCCAAAACCAGTTCTAACCAGTACTGAAGCGCATCCATGGCCCTGGACAGGAAGCAAACAAACTAGCAAGGTCCATATGGAAGCCATCAGCAACCAAAATGGTTTTTTTAACACAGGCTAAACTGGTTCTTTTGGAAACCAAATTACCTGAACCATAGAGATCAATCATGAGAAGCAGATTTCAGAAAGCCAAAATTTTAAACAACTACCCTTTGTTCAACTCAAAACAAATTTAATGTTTACACTGAGTTTCCCAACATTGAGGAACAGAGTTATGAAGACAGTTTTAGGAAGTAACCAGGGGATACACATGCTACACAGAAAAAGAACAAGCATTACAAACTCATACTGATCACCGCAAAAGTATTTTTGAAAACACAAACCAAAGCTTTCTCTGCCTCAGGACAACCCTTAGTCTTAACCTGGGGAAGCATCCTACTGGTTCTGTGATAGCTGAGATTTCACCCTCAGTCTGTTACACTCAGATCAATGCAAAAGATTTAAGGAAACATCACATTTTCTTCCCTTACTGCTATAATTGCAGGGAGTTCCTGAAACAGCTAGTAAAGTTTATCACCATACAGGTTCCAAAAAATCCTCAACTACCAATAGCACTGTCTTCAAAGGTTGCTCATATCTTTCACTGTTAGTTATCAGTATCCATGCTTTGCAACTTAACTGGTGCAAACCCTAAGTGCAAAAGACAAGGCTAAGAAGCTATAAAGATTTACTTTCTGAAGTAAATCTGGTGCTAGTGCTGATAAACTTCAGAAAACCAAATAAAACACTGCCATCTTTAATTTAGACAAGAACTAGCAGGTCCCAAGTATATTGTTTTATTTTAGCAAAAAGCCAAAAAAACCCCCAAAAACTCAAAAAACCCCCACCAACCAAAAAACGAAGACCAAAACAAACCAAACAAAAAACAGGTAGCATTTATTTCCTCTTTCCAAAACCTGCACAGTTCAATACTCACCTAAAAGACTAACATCAAGTTAAATAATGAGTTTGGAAGGGTTTATGGCTCCCAAAATGTGCAGACTAATTTGAAGAAACATTTAACCATGCGCTCAGCGGAGTAAACATCTGCTTAGATGGCTCTCTTCAAGACCCTTGGCAAAGATTTGGTTATATATTTACATTTTCACAAAGGATATGAAATAAAAGAGCTTTTACTGAATCAGCCTTTTACCTGCACACAGCACTACAGTACCTACATTAGACAGAACTGCAAATTGTTCTGAGTTCTGCATTCTAAACATAACAGATAACAAAGACACAGTATGTGACTCACAGTTTGCACTGGTTTGCAAACTTAGGTCAGGACCAAACACTTGACGATTGTGTTCACATACATACACTGATCTGACAATATACCTATATTAGTTCTAAAAATCGCTCAAAACAAAAATTAGTAAGGATCTAGACGGGCTGTACTTACTCCACTCTCAAGTCACTGGGAGAAAGATGTTTAAACTGACACAAATTAAAATTACAGTATTCAGTTTTTATTATATAGGAAGTTTTAGCAGAACTGCTAAAATAGTTAAGTTAGCATCACGCCCTTTGGGGTAATTTATTCCACAAATAAGTAGCTTTTTACACTGTATTTAACCTTTTCCAAAGAAGAACAAATAACTATTCTGATTATAAGCATTCAAGGACTGTATCATAATGTAATTATGGCAAGCTAAAATACATCTCTGAACTAAACAAGCACATTGTCAGCTGTGATCTTCCAAGAATTGTGCAAACACATAACCTAGTTTGGAGATACAACTAGAAATCAGTTGTAGCAAGTAAACTTGAAAGAGAACATAAACACAAACATATTTTTGACTCTTGTGCAATACAACAAATTACTTCCTTTTCTAATTTTTTTCCATGCACAGCAATAGTAGAGGTGCTGGTAACAACCCCTCAGCCCTCCTCTCCCTTTGTGCCATTAACATAATATTATTTCTAGAACACAATGAAAAGAGGAAAGAAAGGATTCTCACCCTGATGAGAAGGGAGAAAAAAACCCAGAACAGCCACAAAACCAGACTACTTCATGTAAATAGCAGAAACAAGAATTTAGATTCTCATCCTGTTAAAAAACTCAAAGTTCTCTCAGTCTTGTATTTCAGAAACGAAAATCTGTGTTTCATTACCTATTTTTATTATTTTACTGTGTTTGATAATTTACAAATACAAAACTTACTGTTTAATCTTCTTGCCATCCGGGTCAACCTTTCCAAGGTATGTATTTGATATACTTCCATGTTGCTGCAGAATGCTTATATCCCCAAAAAGACTTAACTTCTGGAGGTTCCTACAAAACAACAAAATAAAAAGGAATCTGTACACAAAATTAAAACAACGTGAGAAATCATTCTGGATAAGACAAATACAGGCAATAAGAATCCACTATTATATGGACCACAGTCTGTATTGGGACTGTATTCTACTGTCCTAGAATACAGGCACACATGGAAGTACAGAAACTGAGACTGAAGTGTAAAGGGGAAGAGGACTACTTGAACTGCTGAACCAGCTGTAATAGCAAATGCCGGTTTTCAGTCACCACAGTATTTTCAGCAGGCCAGCAGCACCACAAAGAAAACTTCTAGCGGTGGTTTCATGCAATTTTTAACCCTTGGAACATGTGTGTCGAGTATCACAGACGAAAACATCAAATACTTATTTCTTTTAACATTTAACACCGCATTGAATGCCCAAGTAGAACACAACCACGAAGAACCTTTCTGAGCACTTACATACATCAGCTGGTTTACAAATGGGAGCCCAACCCTGCCTCAACTGAGGCATCACAAACCTCAGGCAGGGATAGCGAAAGCTCCCCACGCCATAACCAGTATCTAATTTCTGTTATATCAAAGTAGGGGAAGCTGTTCTAATATTTCCTATCAGTGAGGGTTAGTGGTCCACCATGACATACAGCTTTAACTTTTAGAAGGGATACCTAAAAAGAGTGAAAGAGGAACCTCTAAGTATATGCTGGACATCACACAGTACACTAGACAGTCACTGTTCCTTTCCCTATTTTTCTGACATGCACCTTTTCTATTCCTAAAACAGATCGAGCAAGAGATATGAAAATGACTGCAGTTTTAGAGCAGCTTAGAGTGATGTTTGCTTTTAAGATTATTATTTTTTTAGTTGACTAAGTTTTGGGTCAACATTTCTTTTATTTATATATGGTGTAAATTAATTTACTCCTAACATGAAAGGACTAGTCTACAATTGATAATTAACATGGCAGAAACTCCAGTTTCATCACAAATGGATACAGAAGTTAAATTAATCTTTAACAATTATTTCTTCTGGCTTACAAATCATACGCTAATATTTCAGATCAGCTTTGAGAAAAATGCAATACAATTACAATGCTCAAAGTATAGGGAAGCTCTGGTACAGTTCACTTCATTCACAGTACAATTTCATATTCTACCAAAAGGAGCGGGGGAAAAAGTATTACGTAGCCAAGTTTTAAGTTTTTAAGTATGAACTGCAGTCTGTAATTGGTATCTAGCATAAATCATAATTTAGCTGTTTTGAAGTTTCTGTATTCAATAACAGTACACTGATTTCCTGAAATCTATCTACTGTTGCACCTAGTACTCTTCTTCTATTGGTGAACAACAACTTAATAGCAAGATCCATGAACTTCATATAAAGTCTGACAATAGTGGAGCAAAATACCTAGAATTTACAACTGTTTCTGAAATTCTAACTATTTAATATTTATTATTTTAAATACAGGACTACTGTACTGATGATACACTAAAATAAACTGAGTCTTTACCACGTGATCAATATTCTATAAGTCTGACTAAGACAATGCCTGATCATACTAAAGAGTAAGCTTGGCAGAGAAACCTAAAACACTGGTACCACCACACCACCACCAAGAGTATTTTGGGCTCTGCTTTCCTCAAAAGCTGTAAGAGAGAGTCTGGTGTGACAGAAAAAGTATCAGAAACCTCCACCTGGTCTGAAAAGCAGTGTTCACAGCTATGCTATAATTAAGCCTTTATCTTCTAATCTCAGTGACTTAGTTTGGAGAGCTAAGAGCCAAAATGCAATCCTCAGAACAGTTCTGAACCACCTGCACATTCACACCACACACAGGTCTTGCTTAGTGCTACTCATACCCCCAGCAAATGCTACCATAGGCAGATATTAATTTGAGGACTACCAAACTACACGACACATGAAACACTAATTACTAGTATCCCACACATTTTTTACTACATCTATTTGACCGCCATTTCATGCACTACAGAGACACACAGAAAAGTTCTCTACCTGAAAACTTAAACAATGACAACATCCAATTATTTTTCCACTCACAGCACAGTTATTACCATCAAGAAATCTAATCACAGTTCAACACAATGTTAGATTTCTGTTACTATTTGCAGCGTCATACAACCTCTATGGCATTCAGCTCACATCTCATCTTTGTTTCAGAGAGTCAGTAAAGTGATCATTATTTAAATAAAATTATTTAGAAGTTAATTGTCATCTTTTGCTAAAAGTAATAATGGTATCTTAATTCTGTGTAGTACCCATACATACAGCTGGGGAAAAATGTGTTTTGGAGGGATTTCTAAACGATTTATTTTCTACTAGCTCAAAAAGCACACTATAAGTAATAAGTTTCTTACATCTTCAGTTTTGGTTGGTCTTTATGAATAACTAATCAAAAAAAGAACAAAATGTACTTGCTTACATTTAAGATGAACAAATCATTTAGGCACATATTGTATTATTATACCAGTTTCTGCCAGTTCCAGCTGCCTGGTCAGATCAATAGAAGAGAGTAGTTAGAAAACCTTAAATACAGATGCAGTCTACTGTTTTGATCAATTCACCAATATTTGGCAACTCCAAGACAGATACCATACTTCACCAAGATACCACAGTTTTACAGTAATCTGCATTTATGTTTCCACAGCAAAGATCAAACAAGACACATAATTTAACATACTGCAGAGGAGATGCTGGGGGACGTATGTGTCACTATTTCCCTATCTTCCTTTGTAAGCAAGGAAGGAGGAATAGGAGAGACTATGCTTTGGGATTCCAAGTTACATAAAAGAACACAGGATTTTCCTACTGAATGATCACCAGTTGGTTATTAGCTGCTGTACACACTCAAGTGACTCACACAAAGTTCATCTCCCTCCCACCTGCCTTCCAGAACTTAGTTCTAAAAGATCAGTTTGAGAAGGTGCAGACCATGAGGATCTAAGAAACATCATCATGCCCACCCACAGCAATTTTATTTAATAATAAAGTAGAACATCAGCTGTTTAAACAGTAATACACTGTTATTTTCCTTCAATTTCAGTCATAAACATAACTCATGGAAGAGTTATACAGATCACTATAAATGCTACTTTAGCACCTTCTAATTAAATAAAGGACAGATTTTCAGAGCTCATCAAGGCCCCAGTGATATTAAAGCAATATTTTGGGAGTAATACGCTGCCACACACAAAACAAAGTTTATGGCAACTTGAGCTCTACCTCAAATATGAGACAGACCTAGAACGTACCTTTCTGGATGGTAACACTGGCTGCCAGCAGGAATACTTGTCAGAAAATACTATCAGTCCTTTTCAAACCAAGTTGTGGACAAGTTGTTATTTCCTTAATTCCCTCAGAATTAGCAAAGGTCAATCCAAAATATTTTTGTATTTTTCTGTACTTTATAAAAATATTTCTATTTTTCTATATTTTTCTTAACACACAGATTTGCTCAGAAATCAGCAATTTCGTGTTGTACAGAAAATGCTTTTAGTGGCAAACCCACACATCACTCTCCTCTAGCCAGGAGAGCATTTAGAATTACTTTTAGTCATTACATTTCTTAGGTCCTGCAATATTGTAGATCCTCAAGGAATTCTAGAGCCATCTAAAGTACGTGTTTTTTCCTGCAAGGAGGGTTGTTACTGTAATAATAAATTTAAAACTCCACAACAACGTTACACAGTTAAGAAACAGCATCACAAAAGTAGATTTTTTCCTCTCCAGTTCTGAAGTAAAAGATGGAAACTTTTGTGAACTTCTCAAAAAGCTATCATAAGGGCTGACAGGAGTTACAAAAGAACTGTCCTGTTCGAAACTTAATTACAAAAGGAATACATTTACAGTGATTCAGCCACTGGATAAATTAAAAGCCCTGCTGTTTCCATTATTCTGGAAATTACAATAGCTATCCCATGTACAGTGACATACAGCAAAAACAAGAAGGAATTACTCATTATCCTTGAGTTACAGATAAATAAAGATAAGCAGAGAAATTAAGTGACTGGACTGCAGTCCTTCCTTAGACAAAACAAAGCATAAGGCAGGTGACAATGCCTCCAGTTTAGACATTAGGTGGTCACAGTAAGAACCAAGCAGCAATTTGGCACAAGTTCATGTTCCTTCTCAACTCATTTCAATCTCAAAAATCTACTTAAAGAACTAAAACCCAGTGTTCTACATGCCAACTAAATAGTTACTGGTAGTTACTCTGCAAGAAAAAAACCTAAACAGTTTGAGGGGGAAAAACAAGTCTAATCTGAAACTAAATCTGAAAAAAGGGCCAAGTGTTTAATGTAAATCCCACGCACACACACACATTTTAAAAAGCTCATTAAAAAAAAGCCTGCTGTTATAACCAGGTACCCTGTGTTCCCCAATCATGCATTATTCATTTCAAAACAAAAGAGCAGCATGTAAATGATTTGGAGACAGCAAGAAAGTACAGCAATGCAAAATTCTATCCAACTTGGTAACTTTTCACCTCTGGCTTACCACCAAAATTATACTAATCTACCAGGTACTGGAGAAACAACTACTTATGCGTAGTATTTTACTGCAGTCCTGAGTTACACTGTGCACACAGAATCTGTGAAATGAACTTCATAAAGCAAATGTCCTTGTACAGATTTCAGATAAGGCGACGGAGAATGAATCTTTTTTCAAAAGAAAAAAGTGTACCAAAAGCCTTCTCAGAACGCTTTTAATTTTGACAGTCTCTTACTTTAGTGAGGGAAAAAACCTATTTAGTTTTTCAACAACCCCCTCGAGGCAACATCTCCTGCGGATGCTATCTATTTTAAAATTCCAAGCCCGTGTAGCGATATTTGTCTCAGATCGGATAATCGCCGCCATCATTTCAGTATTTTTTCCACTTATGATACCAGCAGCATTTCCTGAAGATTCGACAGTTAAGTGAAAGCTCCTGAAAGGCAAGAGAAGACCAATCAAGAGACCATTAGGATTCGCACACCAAGGATTCACCGGGTGAGAAATAAATTAAGATAAAGGTGAGCTGGGACTAACGAGGTGTTTTCAGAAGTAAGGTCTGTAACTCTCAACCATCGGGGCTGCACCACAGGAAGTACCTGCTGGGTGCAAGAGAGCAGAGGAACTGAGACTTCACACACCACATTTGCATTCATGTGAAACCAACGAGGAATTGCATTTAAAGTTCTCTTGCTACAATTCAAAATAAAGAAGCAAGGGAGGCCTCAAGCTATTCTCTAATCTCCCCGGAATCAAAGAGGGGCAGTGACAAGCCCATGACTCAGTTGCAGACAGTTTTCTGAAGGCCATCCACAAGGTTTAATTCATCCTAAGGATGTCCTGAAACACCTGCAGTTCTCCCCCCCCCCCCCTCACAGGTAAAGCAAATGCACACAGAGGGGAAATTATATTAACCATTTCCTATCCTAAAATCTGCATGGCCTTCCAAACTCATCATAGCCTAATTGTAATACCCTTGCTTTCCTGTCCTAGGTGCTGACTACAGGCCATATATTAGGGTATCTGATTATTATCTTTAAAAGAGAGATTTATCTCGATCACACCCACACATGGTAAAGAGAATGCAAGTATTTTCATTTTAAAGACCTTAAAGCTGAGGAAATTATCTAACCCGCCAAAGTAAACTGTGAAAAAGCAGGATCTATGCGCATTTTAAGTACAAACCACAGGAAGATACTTCTATCATTTAAATTCAACTTGGCCAAGAAAGTCCTACGTGTGGAGCGCTTTTTCAATAAACAAACAAACGTAAAAACCTCCTCCCAGTTGAAACCGAGTCAAACCTCAGTTTAGCAGATAACACGAGCGCTGGAATGAAAGCTTAGCTTTTCTACGGCAAAAACCCTCACAGCTAGAGAGGTGAAAGCATTTTACTGGGGCAGTAACTCAGTATACCAGTGGTGTGATTTTAACATCCCCTTCTTACTAATTTCTCGTGACAATTTTTTTCAAGCACGCATAAGATCCAAACCCTGTCTGTAGCTCTGTTTTAAGTGAGAAAGGTGCCTTTGTTAGGCACCAGATTCAAACTCCCGGCTCTCACTCGCTCCGCTGGAGCCGCATTCCCCCCCTTTCCATCCAAAGGACGAAGAACTTTTTATTACTGTAGCTATGTCAGTTCTGCGCACTGACCAGCTGATCGCCAGCTGGACATCTGAGTTTATTTGCTTATATTCCCCACCAAACTACACTATATGATAAAAATTTGTTATTTCCGAGCGGTGCGGCCCCGTTCCTGCCCAACACCGCAGAGCAGGGCTCCGGCCGCAGCCCCGGCACGAACCGGCCGCCGCCGGCTCGGGCGCTGTTTCCGCTCGCAGAACCCGGCGGAACCGGCCCTGCGCGGCCCGGGGGGCCCCGCCTGCCCCCCGCCCCGCTGCGCGGAGGTACCTGTTGTTTCGGACGCTGCTCAGGACGCACAGCACCAGCTCCAGATAAGTCCTCAGCAGGTCGAGCCAGCGCGGGCTCAGCGGCGGCGGCGCCTCCCCGTCCCCCGCCGCCGCGGCGCCCTCGCCTGCCGCCGCCCCCCCTCCGCCGCCGCCCGTGGGGTAGTTGTCGGCGGCGAACTGTACGCGGAGCTCACGGACAAACCAGCCGCACTTGCGCATGAGGAACTCGAGGCGCGGGCGCTCGGCGGGCGAGACGCGGAGACTGAGGCGGAGGCGCGGCCAGAGCGCCGGGTAGAAGAGGCACTCCCGCCAGTGCGAGCAGGCGGCCGAGGCCCGCAGCCGGTCGGGGGCCGCCAGGAAGGAGAATATGTGGACCACCAGCTCGCTGGGCAGGGAGCCGGCGCCCACCGCCTCCCCGCACACCGACATGCCTGGCGCCGGCCCCAGCCCCGCGGCGGCGGCCCCGGGCGGCGGCCCCGGCCTGGCCTGCGGCTCCTGCGACACAAACAACAACATCAATGACACGGCGCGGGGGGGGCGGGCGCCAGCCGGGACGCGCCTGCTACCGGGATGCACCACTCGCGCCGCCGCCGGGGGGGGGGGGGGGACGGGGGAGCGGACCGGGAGCTACCACCGCGCGGCGCGGCGGGGAGAGGTGGTCCGGTCCAGCCACCTCAGAGCGAGATTGTGAGGGAAGGCCACGGCGTCACGGCGCTCTTTTTTTGCGGGGTGGCGGGAGCCGCTGCGGCGGACGGAGGAGGACTTCCCCCGCGGGGGAAATGGAAGGTGCCGGCGGTGGGCCGGGAGGCGGGGCCGGCGCGCCCGCCCCGCGGGGGACGTTGGCCGGTCACCCCCCGTGCCGCCGGCGCGGCCCCCTCGCCCCCGCCCCTCCCGCCACTCCCAACGCAGTGCGGCGGAGCCTCCTGTCCGGGGCGCGGCTTTGGGACAGGATTCCCTGCGGGCTCCACGGGCGCTGCCGGGGGGGGCAGGCGAGGGACGTACCCCGCTGGGCCCCCCCACCCCTCGCGCCTGGTGTTTGGGAAAACTTGGGAAGGGTGTGTGGTGGCCGCGGCGCGGAGGCCCGTATGGGACCTCACGTACACTTTTCAGCCAGCGAAATTACCTCAGCAGTATTCTGCTGCCGCCGCGGGAAACGCGCTGACTACGCAGGAAAGGCGGAGCGCGGCGGAGTCCGACATGTGACTGTGCGGGGTGCGAGCCCGGGGGGAAACAGGAGGAAATCCTCCAAATCTTGGTGGGCTGAGCTTCGTAGGTCTCAGCCGCTTTGTAACACCCGTGCCAACATCCGCTGTAAGCGTGGAAAGGTAATTTTTCCTGTGCAAACAGACTTTGGGGAGAATTTAAAAGTCTGTTACATGCTGATGCTGGAAAGGCTGAACATGAAAGTGATGGTAATTGCAATCGTACATGTAAGTTTAGTAATAATCTTGGAATAATGGACATGATTTTATATAGCATTATATCTGAGTGTATAGAAATGTACACATGAAAGAACAGAAGATGTGCTAAGAGAAATAAAGCCTAGACTCCTCTTTATATTCAGAGTAGGGCCCCATTATAACCAGATTCATCAATAACCAGATCTAAAACACCACTCTCCCCTTACTCCATGAGTAGCCATTTTCACTGTCTCACAGCAAGAGGGAAAAAAAGTATCATTTGTCTTTTCTTGAATTTGGTCATGGGGCAAATGTGACTGAGTCTTCCATTTGTCCTTGATTAGAGAGAAGGATCATGGAGAGGCAGATGTTAATGAGAAAGTGAGACTGTAGGAAATTCCCAGCCAGCCACTTCTCCCATCAGGGAGCAGTGCTGCTTCACGCACCTGTGCAGGTGATTTGAACCACCACAAGCAACTCAGGTAAGTGCTGTGCTACTCCCTCTGCAGATTCCACCAAAATTCCCCAGGCAGTCAAAAAGCAAGTTCTGAAGCAGCCAAACTCATCTGGCCTAGAACGATGCAAATGAAAGGAACTGATGCGCCTACATGTCTCCGTATTTTAATATCTACTCAACAATTTCACATTGTTGAGCTGATGATGAGTCAAAGGACTTCCGAGATTACTGAGGATCTTAATGTAAAACAGAATCAAGCTTTACGATTCAGTGCTGGAATTACCGAAATGGCATCAAGAATAATTGGTTTATGAATTTAGTAGTTCTGCATTTCTGGTTACCTTTGTTGAATTGTATTGGATCAGCAAATGTGGCATGCTGGGATCGTGCCTGTGATAATAAATGTTAAGGAAGCTTTCCTGGGCAACATCCAGGAGCCACTCTGGCAGTAACACATGCACCACCTGAGCTGGGACCTAAAGGCCTTCACAGCAGGCATCTCCAGCGAGTGCATGGGTGCTGGGCCTGACTCCCCCCACACAGCACACTCACACTCAGACCAGGTTTCCCACAGCAGAGTCTCAGACATCCAGATCTTTAAAATAATTTAATCTTGGCGCAATAACTAAATAACAAAATAACAACTCAAGCTGGAACCCTGAACAAAGGGAAAGTCTGGGGGTCCTCAGCTCCTGCTGTGTCTCTGAGTGTCTGGTCACCTGGCTGGGCTGAAGGTCCCTGAGCCCTTTGTTGTGCAAAGGGTCGGCAGTTCATGGCTTCAGGCTCAGGCTCCAGACCCCAGAGCTCACACTGTAGCTCACACTGCAGCTGCACACCAAGCTACCCACACTGTATGTATGAATCTTTAGGCTACAACTCAAAATTTTCTAAAAGGCAGTGCAGCCATACTGCACATCCTGGAGGGGCTGGGGAGAGGAAACCATTCCAAAGCAGTTCACAGGCAGGAGATTACAGTCATTTACCAGGAAGTGACTGCAGGTTTTTGCACACTCCATCATGGATCAGAACGGGCTATGCTTCTGGGGAGCCTCAGGAAACCACATTTTGCCAGCCTCAACAGCCCCTGTTGGGTTACTTCACTATCACTAGGATTCTCAGTGCTTAGCAGCACCAGCACTGTGCCACGAGCAGCTGTTTTGGCATGGCAGCCAGGAATCACACGTGGCTCCAAAGATATGGGCTAGCCATAGCAAAGTTAAAGTTTACTGGACCTGAAGGTCACGGATTCAGCAGATAACATCAAGACCAGAGGCTGCCAACATCTTCAGGTGCTCTGTCCTGCTTACTTACAGATACCAAAATAAGGCTAATGAGCTAAAACCAGAGTGCAAGTGTTTTAAATTAGTCAGTCCCTTCTTGGTTTTTAGGTACATTTCGAAGACATGTATGTTTCTGGAATTACTAACTTGGGATGTGTCATTAGTGAGCTACTGTGAACTCTGGAGTTTTCCATCACCAACTACAAGAATGGACACAGCAGAAAGTCAGAGCAAAGCAGAAACAGAAACCTGGTAGGAAACCTGTGTTTCCACATGTGCTATAACTGGACTAATGTGTCTTCCGTGTTGATCTATGTGGAAGAAAAGAGGAGCTGAAGGTTGACCATAAGCTTCCTGCATGATCTTCACCGGTACAGTAACTCTCCATACAAAAAAGAGTATTTGAAGAGGAATCAGGCTGCAGCTGAAGCCTGCAGCCCTGGTGTTGCCTTAAGAGAGTGCAGAGGAAAAAAGACTCCAGGCCAATTTAGTGTATGAGATAAAGAGAGTAGGTCCTTTAATGAGCCTACAGGCCCAGGGAATACACATGACACACGTGCACCCAGACAGCAGTTCTAGGATTTTGTAATAACGTCCATCAATCCCAGATTTGTCCACCCCCAGTTCTGCCCAGTTCTGCCCCCTGACATGCCCCTCCGGGAATTGGGTCTGGGGTCTTTGGGACCCCTTCTTCCTCATCTTCATCTTCAGCATGTACACTCCTTGGAGCTCCTCTAAAGTTCTGGGCTTGAAGGTTGCTGTGTCTGTGTGATATCTCCTGGTCCAGGCCTAGGGTGTTTTTTTGCAATTCTACCTTGAAAAGAAGACTAAACACGCAACGGAATTTAGAGGGATTGATAAGAAATGGGGTTGGGTATGTGTAACTATTATGTTAAGAGTAAGGGATATAATACAGCTATATTAAAATCTACATTTACTACACCACTACTTCTAAAATCCACAAAAGCTAAAAAAAAAAAAAAAAAAAAACAAAACACTCTGAAGCACCACTGGCGATGATCCCAACAGCACCGGGGAAAGCCCAAGCACAGAGCCGTTCCCCTCTCTCTGTGGGGATGAGGGCAGTGCCGGGCCGGCTCCCTGCGGAAGCGACGAACGGCCGGGCGGAAGCGCCGCCCCGCCCCGCGCTCAGCGCGAGCTGGCGGGCCGCGCGCACCCCCGGGTGGTGCGCTGCACTTCCGGGCGGGGCCCGTCACGTCCGGGCAGCGGAGATGCCGGTAAGGCGGGCGGGGAGGCAGCTCGGCCGCTCCGCCGGGACTCGCTGCCCTCCGCGGGCTGCGGGCGCTCAGCGCGCCGCGGAGTGAGGGGGGCGGCCCAGCTTTCCCCTCCCCGCCGCCGGGGCCGCCTCTCACGGCGGCGGCCGGACGCCCGCGGGCCGGGCGGGTGGCACCTGCCCCGCCGGGCCGCGGCGCTCCACCCTGTCCGCGCTGCTCCCCGGGGGTCCGCCGCGCTTCCCCCGTGCCCTCCCGGCCGGAGCGTGGTCGGCTGGACCTGGCAGCGCTGGCTTTCGTCCCCTGGGCTCACTTGGGGCCCGCCGTGCCGGGTGCGAGCTGCGAGGGGCAGCGGGTGGGCGCGGGGGGATTGCCGGGCCCCGGCTCGCTGCGTGCGGCAGGCTGAGTTACCCTGCGGTCGCTGTGTGTACTGTCTTGTTCCCTCGCGGCAGGTGAAGCTCCCATGCCGCACTGCTCTGTGTCCTGAGTGCCAAAGGAGTGCTTTTAGGTTCTCTTTTTTAATATAGTCAATAGATTGGTAATTGTGATGGAAGGGGAAAAGAACTGTACGTAATTCACTTTCTTTTCCCACCGCCAGTGTCCGAGTGGGACACTCGGTAGGCAGAAATAGATACAGCTTGTTGTCATTTCCCCCTTTTAGCCCAAAGAAGCATCATATAGGTATTTATGAAATAGCTTCTGTTTATGTGGACTCACCAGGATTTATCACAGAATCAGAAACATAAGGTCTCAAATGATGGGAAAAGATGAGATTTCCTGGTGACAGGTTTGTATATGGTTCCCTTGTCATCAACAGTTTGAATAATTCCACTGTTTTGAAGGCTGGGAATTCAACCTCCTTGTCTCTTGCATGATTTATGTGATTTGCAGTTGATCCCACAAGTTTCCAGAACAAACAATGCAATTTTCCATTGAAAATGAACGATTGCAAAGGAAATGTGGTAAATAGCCTTTAAAACTTACTTTCACAGTAATTTAGGATGTTATTTTGTTGACTCAATGAAAACAGAAATCCAGGAGCCTTGGTAAATGAGTTTTCCCAGTACCTCAAAGTATATTTTACAGTTACTTGCAACATGTGTTCACTTCTTTACTCTTTGCTCTTGCTTTTCAGTTCCTCTTTCTT